TCGTGCTGGAAGTCGCGCGTGAGGTCGGTGCGAGCCTCAAAGTTTCTGGTGGCAGCAGCGCGAGCAGCGCTTTGCACAGCGCCACGGCTACGAGTGACTCGCTGGTCAACAGGAGTATGCATAACACTAAATGGCATGGTGGCGATGATCAAGGAAGGGATACGTATGCAAAGAAAAACGAAAAGAACAAGCAAGCAAGCAGGCAAACAAGAAAAAGTATGACAATTTACAGCAAAGCGAACAGAGAGGTTTTTGATGAAATTGAATCGTTTTAAAAGCACAAAAACAGAGCACAGCAAGCAGAAGACACAGGGAGGAAGCAGGAGGGGAACGGAGCAGCTGGAGAGCGCAAGGCAGGGTAACGAAAGAGAGGTTGGAAGAGTACACAACCGAGGCCCATAACCTATTAAAGGTATGTGTCCAGTACAGTGTAATGTGTGTGGACAAGGCGATTGTCACAGAGGTATCCAACCAGTCGAAGTGTACACGAGAACATGGATTGAAGCAAGGCGAAGGAACAAGACAGAACAAGACAGAAGGAGGGAAGTGGAACGACCGAGGTCAAGAAGGAAAATGGTACCGATCCAGGGAGATCGCTCCCATTTATAGCAGGTGGAAACACACACACACAGTGGAGACAGAGAATGGACTATCACACTGAAGACAGGTGGAAGCTATATAGCATAGCTTGTGCTGTGATGGCTTGTAGTTGTGATGTGTGACTGCCTTTTTATGTGTCTTGTGTTTAAAATGGCCGTATCTCTGGTTATACTTGGTCGTTTTGTACGATTTTTGTTTCTATGTGCGTGATTCTTCGCGCTTGTACTTCTTGGCATGATAAAAGCCAGTGAATGTAACTTGTTCTCTTGTGTTGTTTTGCGTGACGTAGTGATTTTGATGTCGGGGTTGCACAGCTTTGCTTTCAGCTCTGAGGTTCAAACACCTAATTTATTAAGCTATATCAGCAATCTGTTGGGACCAACAGATGCCACAACAAGATGGTACAACCAGATGTTACACAACAAGGTGGGACAACATCAAGTACCAGAGGACACACAACGTGGTAAAGTATACCGTCTCAGATTGTGCCTCTAATAGTTGCGGCAGTGCAGGTCGATGCGGCAGCTCTGACCATTGGCGTTGTAGCCAGACTTTTCCACCCAGACATGGGAGAGGGTGGCGTACCTGAGCAGGCGGCCCATCTCGTCGCGAAGGGCATTGTGACGCTTGATGGGACGACAGGTCAGCAGGTGCTCGCGGGTCAGTCGCGGCTGAGGTGTCTTGCTGCTGCAGACTTGTCCGTCGGCTTGACGTTGATGAGTTCATGGAGGCCAAAACCCATCATGGACACGACCGCAATGGCAAAGGTCGTGTCACTCAATCGACGTAACCTGTCTCGACCCCGCATGGTCAAGACAGTGCTGACGCCCCACTCGCATGAGGCCAGATATGCCTGCTGCAGGTCCAGCGCGCACTTGGCCATCAGGTCGTCAAGTACCGCCTTGGAGCGGAGGGCAATGATCTCAGCTGGTCGCTGGGTGGCCGCGTCCTTGACCGTGGCCATCTGGAAGCCAGCTCGCTGTACGTGAACCTCAAAGTCGGCAGCCCTCGATGCATCCTCCAAGAGTCGATCGAAGACCCGAGGGTAGCGAGTGGCCAGCTTGGCCATGTTGCAGACATAAGCCACCGGACCGCGCTCAACCAAGTCGTGCAGGCCAACGCCCCCGGTGTTGGCCCGCGTGAAGATGCGAGCCTCCAGGAGCTGTTCCAGCGTAACGTCATGACCTTCAGCTCCAGCTGGTGCAGACAGGTTTACCTTGGCAAAAAAGGCTTTGACAAAGGTGTCCTTGCAAGCACGGTTCAAGAGCTCGGACAGGCCCGACGTCAGACTCGGGGGCAGCGTGTAGAGGTGATTGATGAGGCTAGGCACATACTGCATGGCCGTGAGGAGGGCCTGAAGCGAGACACCGGTCGTCAGCATGTCATTGAGCTTGCCAGCAATGTGCTTCGCCTTGTCGTTCAGCTGCTTCTTCATCCACTCGTGACGGCCAATCAGTGTTCCCAAGACCGTCATGCCCGTGTTGGCCGTCTCACGCACGGCATCTGGCAAGACAGACTTGATAGCAGCGATGGAAGCGGGATGGTGGCGAGGCATGTAGAAGCGGCTCTTTCTGGGCTGCAGATGGAGGCCAGCAGACTCTGCACGAGCCTTGACAATCTCCACGTCGGCTGCCACGTCCTCGGCGGGACCCATCAGTACAATGTCATCGAGCTACTTGATGACCTTGCAGCGATAGTCAGTGGTGGCGTCGAGGAGACCGAGGACCTCACAGGAGTACAGGGCAAAGAAGAAGGGCGATAGTTCGTTGCCCTGCACAATGCCTTGGCCAACTTCCCTGGATCGGTACCATTTTCCTTCTTGACCTCGGTTGTTCCACTTCCCTCCTTCTGTCTTGTTCTGTCTTGTTCCTTCGCCTTGCTTCAATCCATGTTCTCGTATGCACTTCGATTGGTTGGATACCTCTGTGACAATCGCCTTGTCCACACACATTACACTGTACTGGACATACACCTTCAATATGGTGTGCTCGATTCAGATCTGCTCGGACCCTTTCACCGTAGTCTGGGTTGATTGGGCTTGTCCTCCTTGGCCGTCCCTCTTTGTAATCATTTCTGAAAGCAAAGCTGTGCAACCCCGACATCAATATCACGACGGCACGCAAAACAACTCAAGAGACCGACACACTTTCATCGGCTGTTATAATGCCGACAAGTACAAGCGCCAAGGATCACGCACGAGGAGACAAACATTGTGGAAAACGACCAAGTATCACCAGAGATACAGTCATTTCAAACATAAGACACCCAAAACGGCAGTCACGCATCACAACTACAAGCTTTCACAGCGCGAACACCAAGAGCAACACGGCACGCTCACACACAACAAGACACAACGTCGGGATGAAGAACACAACCAACCACAGATCAAAAAGACATCAACGAAAGACTTCACAAGAATACAGCAAAATTCCAAAATATTTAACAAAAATCTGTCAGGCGGAGGCCGGTTTTGGGTTGCGAAGAAGCGCGTAGGTTTGAGGAGGCGCTTTGAGAGAGGTTTGAGAGGCGTCTGTCGGGACGGAGCGAAAGCTGTGGTGGTGTTTTGAGGTCAATTGAACCAGCTGCGGTCCGCAAGCATTCACAGTGACCAGACCAGGTGCCGCTCAATCCCAAGGATAGGGAAAGTGCAACCCGTACCCGACCGCAGGTGTCACAACACAGGGCAACAACAGTAGTGGCAAGCTTATCGCCCCAAGGCATGTGCCAGGAATCGTGGTGTCTAAGTGTAGGTGTGCTTGTGTGAGGTCACAGCAGCTATGGGGGTTTCAGTGGGAAGACCCATACTGATCGAAACCGAGTGTGTGAAAGCAGTGGGAGTGCTCAAATGCGTGGAAGCGAGCCTGGCAGTTTGGTCTCAATGCTCGTGCCAGATTCGACCCTTGGACACCACTTGCTCCTAAGCGAACCCTGTTGACTGGAAGTGGGTGGCAGGTTGCCGCCTTATGTGTACGTTTTGGGCTTCAATGGGATGGGAAAATTAGGGTTTGACTCATGAATGTGCATTTGAATATCTTAAAAGCCTAAATTTATTACGTGTGAGTAAAATAGTTGAATGGTTCCAAAAAAAAAAAGTCTCACGCCACACAGGAAATGGCGGTAACTGTCTGATGAGCATAGTAAGCATAATGTCATCTCTGTTAATCAACAAAGCAAGCTATGATCGTGTTTCGTTGAGTCGAGGGTCAGATGAACATTAGTTCAGTCCCGTGAGGGCCAAGGTCGCAAGGCGTGGCACGATGCGGTCACACTGCGTGTTCTGAATCCGTGCTGATGGAACACGCATGTGCGATTGCTCTCAAGGGTACAGCCATCACAATGTCCGGTGGGATAAGGTAGAAGAATGGTGAACAATTTGCTTTTGGCTTGAGCGTTAACGGTCAAGTTGAAATCAAATGATCCAACGGTGGCCTCGATGATCAGTGCACAGCTGACATCACAGCCCAGCTGCGAGGAATGATAGTCTATTTGCCCACCGTCTGCAAAAGTTGCTATGGAGGTCACAGCATTGTCGTGGAGTCGAGTGTAAATCGCACTGCGCTCAGACAAATTGAACTTCAGCTCGCGCATGAGGGTATTGAGGGTATCATCCGCTCGCTTCAAAGGCACGGCAGGCAGCATCAGGTAAGCCGCAGCATTGGGCAGCGGCTGAGCCAGAGTCCACTTGACATAAAAACGCTCAACGGTTTGAGTCCGATTTGAGTCACCAATAGAGATCCAGTTGCCCGAGGACGTGCCCCTGAATATATCCAGGGAGCCAGAGGCAGACGAATTGATGGCAAAAATTGTATTGTCATGATGAATCCAGGCAACGCTTTCAGCCGGCAAAGTGATAAGTTGATGCGACATGATGCTGATGCGCTTGCCGTTTCGCAGAGCCACGGTCACGGATCCTGCAGCTCGGCAATCTGCAAGTGTAAAGATGACTGGCATGCTGACAGGCCCAGAGATTTGTTGTGCGGTAGCCACTAACACGTCTGGAAACATGGCCCAGCTGCGTACGCATTTTAGGGGGCGAGGTTTCGAGAATTGTGTCATAAAGGTGGCACCAAGTTTGCCGTTGCTGACTCCACCAACATCTGAGGTCAACGACCTCATGTAGGTCGATTTGCACGTGGGTTTGTTGGGAAGCTATGCATGTGAGGCGAGCGGGATGATGAGTAAAATCAATACTTTTGTTCTGATAGAGGAGGGGAGGGGGGCGTACGGATCGCGCACATACCTGCTCAAGCAGGGCTCCAGGAAGCTGCTGCCAATCCCAGACTGGAAAGATGTTGTCATATTCATGACCCGTGTAGTAGAGAGCTACCGTGCCGCTCGCAGTGAGCTGACTTTGCTTGCCCTCATTGTTGATGCACCGCGCATTTGTCGATAGGGATGAGAACATGTGTATGCTGTATTGATAGCCCGGGCCACGCATGATGGCGTAGTCACTGTCAAAGAAGTAGCGGTGTCCGAGAAGGGTTGTTCCGGAGTCATTGCGCGCCAGGCGAAGAGCGAAATTCAGAAACTCGTCGCGACGAGTTGAGTTGAGGGCAGCAAGATGGTCGACATTGAAATCCACACGGTGCACGCCAGGCGGGCGGGCGATGATGCGTCCAGTGACAGCAAAATCCCAGACTTCGTCTGAGCCGACGGACATCCAGGCTTGGCCATCGAGGACAAGTCTTGCAAAGTTGTGCAAGTGCTTTGGGGATATGTAGAAGCTGGTGTCACGTGCCAAATGCACAATGTTAAGGACGAAATTCGTGTAGTTGGCGCCATAGCTACCAGTGAGGTGTTGACCTCGATGTTGACTGAAAGAGCCATCATGATTGATGCCATCGTGCTTCGAGGATATCATAGATGCGCTGGCATAGACAGTGTCCAAGGCGCGAGAAACTTCGGAAGGTTGGCCTTCAAAAGCAGAGCGTAAGACATCGACATACGCCTGCCAAACCTGCAGGTTGCGCCAGGGCAGCGAAAAAGCGACATGAGTTTGAACCCTTTCTTGCAGATGATACTGGAAAATGCGGCGCAAGCGGTGCAAGAGCTTGGGTTGGTGCGAGGGCCTTGGGCTTACCAGGTTTGCACCAGTCAGGCTCGACCACCTGGCGCGATTTAAAGTGGGAATGGCCTTGTTGTAGATGGAACGAGGGATGGCTTCGGGTCCGATGAGGACAAAGGTGGCAGCGAGGGCTTGGGGAACGGCAATATCGTTCCACCACCTAAGCAGCAGTAAGGTTTGCCGAAAAGGGAGGAGAGAGAGAGATAGTTTGAGAGTTTGAGAGAGAGAGTTTGAGAGAGAGAGATAGTTTGAGAGTTTGAGAGAGAGGGAGAAACAGAAGGAGGAGGAGAAGGAGGAGGAGGAGGAATGGCGACAAGGAACCAGAGGGTTGCAACAAAGTTAGGGATCGCACGGGACCAGGGGGAGAGATGTGGCAGAACTTTAGTAGACTGCGGTCGGACAGACAAGGCAATCGTACCAGTTTTGAGAGGTGAGGTGATGCGGAGCCAGCGTTCAGT